TTCTCCAGCTGTTGTGCATGTTGTTTGGGGAATAATGTGAGTTGAACTCCCATCACATCAACCAGGATACAAATCTGGAAAAACTAATGTCATTATTGGTTGTTTTTGTTCATCTTTCTATATTATTCCTCTTTGAAAACAGATATTGCTTTGTTTAACTTTGATAACTGTTTAGCACTATCAAAGATATACACAAATTTGTCCATAGCTATATCTGATGAATAGAAATATTTCAGGCTTTTTTTTTTTTTAAAGAGAGTTTCATTTATATTCCTTTACGATTTTGTAAAAACTGATTCTAACAATACTCAGAGATATTTTGGAGAAGAATTACTGCTGCACTACCTTGCTCCAACATGCCTGTTTTTAACTTGGTACAGATAGTCCTCGACCACAATTGAGCCTAACATTTCTGTTGCTAAGTGAGACATTTGTTAAGTGAGTTTTGCCCCATTCTACGACCTTTCTTGCCACAGCTGTTAAGCAAATCACTGCAGTTGTTAAATTAGTAACATGGTTGTTAAGTGAATCTGGCTTTACTATTGACTTTGCTGGTCAGAAGATTGCAAAAGCTGATCACATGACCCTGGGACACTGCAACTGTCTTAAATATGAACCAGTTGCCAAACATTTGAATTTTGATCATGTGACCATGGGGCGACTATTGTAAGTGTGAAAAATGGCCACAGGTCAGTGCTGTTGTAAATTCAAATGGTCACTAAATGAACTGTTGTAAGTCAAGGACTACCTGTATTTTGGTCAAGAAGCAACAATGAGAACTGGACACGGAACCACTGATTGGTTCAAAATTGGGAAAGGAGTCCGGCAAGGCTGTATACTGTCGCCCTGCCTATTTAACTTATATGCAGAGCACATCATGAGAAAGGCAGGGCTAAATGAATCAAAGGTTGGAATTAAAATTGCCGGGAGAAATATCAACAACCTAAGATATGCAGATGATACCACTCTAATGGCAGAAAGTGAAGAGGAACTAAAGAGCCTCTTGATGCGGGTGAAGAAGGAGAGTGCAAAAGTTGGCTTGAAACTCAATATTAAGAAAACCAAAATCATGGCATCCGGCCCTCTCAATTCCTGGCAAATAGATGGGGAAGAAATGG